ACACCCAGACAAGCCTCTCACATCTGGTGCTTTTATATATAGGAACAGCTGCCAATACCCAATCCCTGGCACCCCTCTGGCCTATCTGTAATCAACGGGGGAAGGAGAGGATTTCTGGCCAACATGGCTCCATGGGGCAGTGGATCGGGCACAGGAGCGAGAGGCAGGAGACCTGGCCTCTATTCCTGGCTCTGCCACTGCGTCAGTGTGTGATACTAGCCAAGTCCCTTCATACCTCTGTGCCTGGGTTTCTCCACCTAGAAAACAGGGATAATAAGGCTTGCTAACTTCTCTTGAGTGCACTGAGATCTGTGAGTATTATTTCTGTGCGCTGGTCATCCACCAATGGCTTCGCTTCAGTGCTGTGTCCTGTTCCTCTGCCCTTTGTCTCAGGAGCTCTTCAGAGCAGGCACTGCCCCTTTTCTTGTGTTCTGACAGCACCTGAGACACGGTGCTGCTTCTACAATCTAGGTAAATTCAGCCCTGTCGGTTACTAAGCAGTGGGTGTCATTTCTTACCATGCTGCAACTAAACACTTGTAACTTCTCCAGAGTGCTGCTGGGCACTGTCTGCCTGGGAAACAAGGCTTTGCCGAGCCCCTGAATAGGTCACAAATCTGTGACGAAGCCGGACTCCTGTTATCGTGCTGCATGCCAAGGTCACTACAAACTCCAGAGTGGCAGGGGGGCTAGAACTCACATCCTCCTGCTCCAAAACCATAGGCCTCTTCTGCATGAGCTGAGGAGAATTTCCTAAAGCTGCTGTTAATCTAGGGCCTGTGACACAAGGGTAGGCAGTTCTGTGTCCATGCCACAGTGGGATGTGATGACACATACACAGCCTGTTTTGCACTAGTGCGATCAATGTGTCCCATATACTAAAGCACACGAAGGCCGAGGGGCGCTGGAGATGCATTATCCCCCTCTTAGAAATGGGAAAACTGGATGAATGTGACTTGCTGAAGGTCACACAGTGAATCGTGGCAGAGCAAAGGGCTAGGAGCTAGAAACTCCTGGATTCTGTCCCTGATCGAATCCCTTGACCGCACTGACAAAAACCTTCCTTGCTGCCACTGCCTTCCATGTTCCAGCAGTGAGCTGGGGGCAGTTCCTGTCTGCTGCGGGGGGATGGCTGGCGTGTAAGCCCTTGGGGGCCTGGATGGTCTCTCCTATTGAAGCACTTGATGTGCTTTTAAGTATCATAAACTAATAAATATTTCTCCCATCAAGTGGGGCAATAGGTGCCGGAGCTTCCTCTCAGATGTTTCCCCAAGAGCAGGAAGGTTTCTCCAGCGTGTAGAAGCCTCATGGCTCCTACACAAGGCTGCGCTGAAGGAGCAGCCACACTTCAAAGTAGGGTGACCAGATGTCCCGATTTTATAGGGACAGTCCCGATTTTTGGGTCTTTTTCTTATATAGGCTCCTATTACCCCCCCCCCCACCCCCATCCCGATTTTTCACATTTGCTGTCTGGTCACCCTACTTCAAAGGAGCCATTGCCAGTGGAGCAGGGGACCGCTGGGCCCTGTCAGCTGTGGAGTGACTGGCCCTGTTCCTGGCTCCCAGATGTTGAAATCCTCTTGCTGCTCCGGCTAATGCTTTAGGTCAGCTCCTGAACGTGCCCGCAGCAGGGTGAAGTGCTGCTGGCCCCTCTGCTGCCCAGAGCCGCGGCGGGTCTGGGCCCTGGCTGTTCAGGCCGGTGAGAGGAGGATGTGCCCCGGGCGCTGCACACCCTGTGGGCCGGGAGTGCGTTCCCCGAAGGGAGGCTGGGGGGCCCCGGGGGTCTGGGATGAGCTCACGGTGCTGGCCTGTGGCCCTGCAGGTAGCAGCCAAGAGCCCCAGCTGGAGCAGGTCGCTGGTGCTCGGCGCTGTACAGACAGGCCCGCCCCCCAGAGCCCACAAGCCGAGCACCGGAC